ACACTGATCTTTGGCATTAATGTGGTTCATTTGGAGCTTTTATTCATTGATTTATACTCCAAATAGACTAGTATTACGACAACCGCAATGATTTTCAAGGGCGTAAATTTAGTAAAGACGCATTTTCTGTAACCAGTACAAAACGGAGTTTCAAAACAAAAGAATTCAGTCTTGTTCTATAAAAACCTGAGACTTGTGACCTATGATTTAAGTCTTAGTAACAATTTATATCTGGATTGTTTACTATTAAAAGAAGTACTTGATTATAAGCTGGTGATGTTGTTAGATTGTGGGATATTAATGGCCGATGATAACCTTCTGTGCATTCCTTCACAGTAAAAGCTACATCAACGTTTGTCCAACTGAACGCTGTATTAAATGACTTTGGATTGTTTGGGACAAATAAGTGTAATCTATGATGTTCTCTCACTGCTAAGGTCGCTGTAACCTTACAGAGATAATTTTAATCTGAAAATGTATAAACAACAAAACACTTCCTGTTTCATTAATTGAATATTTATGAATCAATTATATTTTGTCTCATTCATTATCTAGTCATCTATGCCTTTAATTTTATGATTTCTATTTAGAACTCAGAACAAAAGGTTTTTAAAATTGATTTAGACAATGTTTTTCCTCAGGGTAATATGAAGGATTGGACCATACACTGCAAAAACCATCTAAAAAGGAGAAAAAATGCCTTAAATTAAGTGTATTTACCATTAATTTGAGTAAGTAAATAGGATAATTTGCCAATGGAATTAGTATTTTTTGTCTTAAAATAAGATAATTAGATAATATGCACTTGAAATTAGACAACGCAATTGTGTTTTCTTATTTTAAATGTAAATTGTCTTGTTCCATTGGCAAAGTGTCTCAATTACCCCCTCAATTCAAGAAAAAATGCACTTATGTAGATTTCAGTCTGTTGCAGTGTATGAAGATAGATGAATAAATGTTAAGCAAGTCATTGAAAATGCTAAGTAACATTTATTTAAAATAAGATCAACATTTTATATTTTCATTATTGCTCTTGCATTTCAGTTTTGTATGTGGTCATTTTTGGACAAACAGGATTTGTCTAAAAATGACCTGCTTTGAAAGGGTTGGAGGTGATCTACTGTAGATGTAGAATTCTGAAGAAAGCATCATTCTGTGATGCAAGGGCAGCCTTAGACATAAAGCCTTAAATATAACATTGCAACCTGACCAATGTCTGATCAAACGTCTCTCTGGATGTTTTTCTCCCTGACCACTAGTGGTCAACCTTCGTTTGATCTAATTCTGTCCAGATTTTTGACTTCTCTCTTTGACAGAACTTTAACAGCCAATGTAAACTGCATAAACTTTTTGGTTTCCTTTCATTGACCTAAAGTGGTTTGGGTCTTTAGAAAACCGGCCCTTAAGCATAATTCTGACGGTTTACTTACTTCTTAAACGGCTTTGATATGTTTTGGGGGACAGTTGTAATTTTTGAACACCCAAACTTAAGTCCAAATCTCCCATTTAGATATTGATTTTAGTTGAAGTTGATCTTATATATTATTCCACTGGCTTAGGGTAATATATCAGCACCAACAGCAAATGTTGAAAACTGTCATTAGTAAATGTAAAAACACTAGTTCTCCATATTCTGGACTGACTTTTTCCTGTAATGTTCTTCCAGAGAACATTTAGCACAATGTAAACACCTTGACTAATATCCCATTCATCCAGAATTTGCTACCATTGACTTTTATTTTAAAATGTAGTCTTTAACATATTTCTTCAGATTCAGCTCACAAATACTTTATTTTCCCAAAGGGAAATGAAATGTTGCAGCAACTCATAGGTTATGGTTTAAACAGGTGTTGTACGTGTTGATAACTGTGGGCAGAAAGGATCTTCTGTATCGATCTTTCTTGCACTGGATCTAGAGAAGCCTGACTGAAGACACTCTGTTGTTGTTTGAAAACTTCTGAAGAGGATGCCTCCTGTTGTCCGAAATGTTATTTTAACTTTATGAAGAATTCCTCTTTGTGAATTATCTGCAGAGGTTGTAGAGAAGAGCTCCTAGAACAGAGCTGACCTTCTTCATTAGCTTGTTTAGCTTTTTTGAATCATTAGCTCTAATGCTGTTACCCTGGCAGTCCATAGCAGAAGAGATCAGACTCTCCACAACAGCCTTATAGAAGATAAGTAGCATCTTGCTGCAAATACCGAAGGACCTAAGCTTCCTTAGGAAGTATCTGCTCTGTCCCTTCTCTAAACAGCTTAACAATAGTGTCTACAGTCTAGTTTGTTGTCTATGTGAACACCAAGGCATTTGTATTCCTCAACCACCTCCATTTCTTCTCCCTTTATGTTATTAGGTGTCAACTTGTTCCTTTTTCTTCTGAAATCTACAATCATCTCCTTTGTTTTGTTCACGTCCACTCCATGCCAAAAAGGGTTTCACCAGCTCTCTGTACTCAGCTTCTACTTAATGGAAGATTGTCCTTTTTTATATTTGGGATAAACTGCTTCCTTAATATCCACTCCATTTCCTGTACCTGATCATGTGTACAGAGAATAGCTTAGCTTAGAAGCCATAGAATATGTCAGTTACCGCCATTTTATTTTATTTTTAGAGTCAATGAGTTGCTCACTCCTACCCTCGCCTACTTGTTGCTTCCCGTTGAGTAGAAGAAGGAGGTATTTTAGATTTTCTTGCAAAAAAATACAAATTTGGCTCTTTGGGAAAAATTTTAACTGTGAAAAACACAAATTGTCTTAGGGGGAAGAAGGAAGATGCAACGGCCACCATCCTTTTTAAGAAAACACACTGTTGCAAAACTCAAATTAGCAAACCCCAAGAGGCATGTTGAGCATGTCTGAATAGGGACCCCACCCAAGCTTGTTAGACTTCATAGTAAAAAAAAGGAAAAGTATTTAAAGGGCTTGAAATTCTGTTAAAAACAAACAAACATTAATAATAAAATAAGGGATTGGAAATGTATAATTTTGCTTTGGTGTTTTTTGTAATCTTTGCTTCAGCCAAAGTGTCAAAATCAAAACAATTAAGCAGTAGATAATATATTATTACCACTATATAAACAGAAAAGCATTATTTATTTATACGTTTCTTTTATTTTTAAAAATATATACAGAGATTCTTTACTATTTTTTACAGGTTTTTGTGATAAATATCACAGATTCAACAGAAAATAAGAGAAAGGCAGTTTTAAATTAAAGTAGGACTGGACAATACATTTTTATTGATTATTTCTAATTTTGTGTTTGCATGAACTTAATTTGAGTAAAATTTGGATTATTTTTGACCAGTGTACTCACTAGGCTTCCGTAGCTCAGCTTAATGTTACCCCGTCAATTTTTCCTCCTAAATGTATATATATAAAACACTAAAAAAGCTCATTAGCTATCTGTACTACCACTTGCTCAAAACGTTTTGTATATTACATTTTGTATTGCTTTACAGTTGCAGGGCTCATAAACCTGTTTTAACAAACAAGGCTCATAGTCTGAATTTTATTGTATGTTGAATTTAGGTCAAATTCCAGCAGGGATGATTATAGTAATTTCTCTCATTTGTTTGCTAAAAGTACTACTAGAAGGTTGAGCTCATATCTGAAGCATACTTTAAGGTATAAGGGGTTTTGTAAAACTTGCACAATACTATGTTGCTAAGCAGAAATTATTGCAAATCTTTCCCCACTTGGATTCCATTTTGAAGTTTAGTAGGTCATATACTTATTATTGGTATGCTGGAAGTCTGTGAGGCAGACACCTTATCTATTTTTAATGGTAGGCTTAAAACTTTCCTTTTTGATAAAGCTTGTAGAGCAGCTCAGGTTATCCTGAGCTATCTCTATAGTAATGCTGCTATAGGCTTAGACTGCTGGAGGACATAGGGACCCCTATTTCATCATTCTGCTTCATTCTAAATATATTCTCCTTCTCTGCAGAATCTGTTAGTTCAATCTCTAACGTTATGCTCTCTCTGCTTTTTCTCATAGTAGCTTTGCCTCGTCTGTTCGAGTTTGGCTGTGACTCCATCCTGGAGAGAAATATCAGCTGAGCTGCTGCCATCAATACCTTTGTTTATAGATGTTGGAGATCTGCCTGTTTTCAGGTGTAGTCCTGTTTCTCTGACTGTGACTGGCTGGATGTGCTCTCTTCATCCTTTGACATGAGGTTTGGCTCGGAGCTTGTCTGCCTGGCTGTGTGTTTCCAGGACGGGGCCGCCTTTAAAGCTGCTTTTTGTATGTCTGCTTCTGTCTTCTTGAACCCCAGTTGGTCTTGGCAGATGGCTGCTCACCCTGAGCCTGGTTCTGCTGGAGGTTTCTTCCTGTTAAAAGGGAGCTTTTCCATTCCACTGTCTCTACAAGCATGCTTAGTGTGAGGGATTGCATTCGAGTCAATGAGTCGATGCAATCAACTGGTTTTTCTTAGATAGAAAACTTTGAATCAATTTGACTGTATGATCTGTTGAACTCTAAAGTGCCTTGAGACAACATGTAATGTGAATTGGCTTTATATAAATAAACTGAATTGAATTAAAACATCAATAAATTACTTTTAGAGACTGGTGATGCATTTCAGAAACCTTCATCATGTCACAGAATATCATCATCCTCAGACACACATTTTTAATCTTATTTTCTGCCTGAATTTAGGTCAAAGGTGTCTGCTTCCAAAATGTAGATATAACTATATGATAAATATTCATTTTAGAGCTAAAGAGTTTAAAAGGTTAAATCAAGTCATGTTTGATCTCTTAAAGGTTCCCCATTAATAGTATATCAAGACTACTCCCCATTATAGCAGATGTTATCAATAGATAGATAGGTAAATCAACCGATCAATAAGTAAATAAACAATTTACAAAAATATATTTTCTATAAAACCCATATCAAAGCTAACAATTCCTCTGCACGTGAAAATAATTTATTTCCACCTGGCTTCGTTAGACTAAATGATTTCTGCGTTTTTTCCGCTTCAACGAAAGGTGACCAAAAAAAGCGACTCCCCCCTTTTTGGGCGCTTTCGCCTTCCGTCTTATCCACCGTTCTGTACATATCAAAGTTCATGGTAGGAACTTGTACAGTTTTGCTCGTTTTTTTTCCGCCTTAAACTGATAATTTGTCCTTAGGGGAAGGCTTCAAAGTATTGTCGTAGTGTGAGAGCAAAACGCCGTTATTTGTTTGTTATTCATGCGTGATTAAAGGATAATCTGCGCCTTTGATTGCTGAAAATCTGCAGCACTGTTATCTCTAAACCGAGGACAAGTGTCCGCAATGATAACAGTGCTGCAGAAAATATGTATTTAAATGATAGTTTTAGTCTTTATTTTTTCTCTCTAAATAATAAATAAGTCGTTAAATTAATGCTAATCGAAGAGTAGATAGAATGCATACATTTAATGGAATCTAGTGTGTGATGATTACATTTATTCTCTGCCTTTTGACATGGACAGTGCATCTTGGTTAATATTTGACTGGAGGATCCTCAGCTCCTCCTCATGGCAGAGGTGTTTTATGTTGGAGTGGATGTGGGCACTGCCAGTGTGAGAGCCGCACTGGTGACTAGAGATGGACTCCTGAGGACCACTGCAGAGGAACCCATCTCCATCTGGAGTCCCCAGCCTGATCACTATGTCCAGTCCTCCACAGAAATATGGCAGAAATGCTGCTCAGTGGTCAAGGTAGGAAGACATCACAGCGAGAAATGGTCCAAAAATAATTAGAGAAAAGTGTAATTAGTGTAAAGAAAAAAAAAAAATCTTCATCCATGACATGGATACAGAAGAGGATTAGGGCCACTGAAAAAAAAGTTAAATGATTTTTACATTTTATTTCAATTTATTATGGGAAAAAAGTCAGAATTCTTAGATTAAAGTTAGAACTCTGAGAAAAAAGTCAGAATTTTTATATTAAAGTCAGAATTCTGAGATTAAAGTTAGAAATCTGCAAAAAAGTCACAATTTAGAGAAAAAAAGTCTTCTGAGATTAAAGTTAGAATTCTGAGAAAAAAGACAGAATTCTGAGAAAAAAGGCAGAATTCTGAGATTAAAGTTAGAAATTTGAGATTAAAGTCATAGTTCTGAGATTAAAGTCAGAATTCTGAGAAAAAAGTCAGAATTCTGAGATTAAAGTCAGAATTCTGAGATTAAATTCAGAATTCTGAGATTAAAGTATGAACTCTGAGAAAAAAAATCTGAATTCTGAGATTAAAATTAGAATTCTGAGAAAAAAGTCAGAATTCTGAGATAAAAGTTATCAAAAAGATAAATTGTCTTAATAAAACAAATTATTTTGATTTTTTTTTATACCAATGGGCCATAACGAAAATGATACAAAATGAAATGAAAATGATGCCATGCTAACAGTTTCCCTTTATGTTGTTCCATTTTCCACTACTTATATTTTCCTTAGTATCCTATTTTATATTTTGCATTCTGTTGACTTAAGCTAACATTTACTTATTATTCTGGCTAGCTCCTATAGTTTCCTTAAACAGTTTATTAGTTTGCTTTAGCTAATGCTTTAATTGAGTATTTGTTATGTGAAATCACACCTGACATGTTCATTACTGATTAGCACGTTTTTTGTTGACATTTTGACATCGATTTAGCACCACATTATCCCAAAACACAATGATTGGGTGTTAATATGTTGTATTAGCCCATTATCAATTAGCTGCAAATTTGCTAGCATTAAAACACACCTGGTTGAGAGGGCATTATTTATCTCATGGTCCTTCAAAGTTGCAATTTTTAGGGGAAATATATTTTATTTTGTAATTTTTTCTGTATAATATGTATGACAAATGATGGGACAACACCTAATCTTGTATTTGATCCCCCCTACTCAGTTTACAGTAACTAGTTGTATTATTATGTGCAGTTTTCCAATTGTCACTATTTGATTGCAGAAAGTTACCAGTGGTGTGCAGAGCAGCCATGTTCGGGGCATTGGCTTTGATGCTACCTGCTCTCTTGTGGTGTTGGATAAAAGCTTTCAGCCTGTTCCAGTCACTCAGGAGGGTGAGTGTTTAGGTGTTAGTTTGCTACATTTCATTTCCAGTCCTTAGTCTGTGGGCTGTATTGAGTATAAAGATCTATGCTCAGTCCAACTGTCTGATATATCATATGAAACTGCATTGATGATTTAAAGGAGAAATCATTATTTTACACTGAGGCCAAGGTTCTCAGCTAGATGAAACAAGCAGCTTGTAATGGTGTTACACTGTAGTGACAGTAGTGATTAATGAGTAGATTCATGTCTTATCTATCCTAACTAAATGAAGGTATTGGTCTCTCCTGATTTTATTTTATTTTTTCAGGGGACCCACAGAAGAACGTGGTGATGTGGATGGACCATCGTGCTGCAGAGCAGGCAGTTCGGATAACAAACACCGGACACAGGGTCCTGAGCAAGGTCGGGGGGGTCATGTCCCAAGAACTGCAACCCCCAAAGCTTCTCTGGCTAAAAGAGGTGAGTAAGGTCAATGATCCATCCGCTGCACTCTGTTTGTTTTATTGTTGCTCTTTGAACTGTCTGGTAAAGTTCAGGAAAATAGATGAGGTACCATCTGCATGAGGACATTATTTTCCCAAATGCCTTGGTTTGCATCCATCACACAGAAAATGTAATGTTCTGCTAATACTGTACTGATATGTTTTCATCTCTTTTTAAATCAGTGGTTAGAAACTACAGATTATTTTTGTCTCTTTGTCAGAATCTAAAGGAAAGCTGTTGGGACAGAGCGGCTCATTTTTTCGATCTACCAGACTTCTTGTCCTGGAAAGCTACAGGTTCCTTAACAAGGTCTGCTCTGTTATTTATTTATGCAAATTCATAATGTTTCAACCTTTCATTGTATTTTAATCAGTTTTATTGTGATTTAATATGGAAAAAAAACAAAGAAATGCATAACTGTGAGTTTGAAAAAAAAAAAAAATCTTTTGGTGCCTCTAGCATAGAGATTCCCAAACATGTCTGCTTGTGACCCCAAAAATAACAACACAGCAGACAGGGAACCCCCTAAAAATACATACTATCTATCTGTCCGTCTTCTTCCACTTATTCTGTATAGCCAGTCTGTCGCCCTACATTCCATACATATTTTAGATAAATAAATGTCACATTCATCTACGGGTTTCTCACACAAATTCAAAAACTTTACAGAACTTTCCAGGACAAATTTTCTTTGCCAAACGGAAAACATGCAATTTTGAATAAACTTATATTTTTCAATGAAAGGTTTTTACACTTCATCGGGATTAGCAAAATTTTTATATTTTGCTAAATTGCGATGAAACCTTACTGAGTTGGAGGACGATGCCGCTGCATATTTGGATTTATAGGGGGACTATTTTTTACATTTAGTTTGTGAGGATGAGCACTAGAGCCGCGGCTGAAACATGGATATATCTCATGTATTTACATCCTCCGCTGTCATGTTCTTTTTGGGAGTTTTCGCATAAAACAAATGTATTCACATACAATCTTAACTGTATTTTTTGTTTAATGGAAATATTGCAACAGGGAAAAGATAGATTTTAGAAATTAGATGGAAACTGACATAGTTTTGCACATATTTGTAATGGAAAGGCCGTTAGTGGCTGAATTTATTTCCTGCTACTTCTGTTTTTTTAGGCTGTTTTAGGAAACTTTCCAGAATTTCAAGGACCGGTTTGAATCCTTACTTTTTTTCCCATTTATGTACTAGATTATATATTTTCTCCCACCATACGGCTCATGGATCATATAAAAAGAACTGTGAAATCCATCTTATGACCCCAGACTTTATGTCCAACAATCCCTCAGGTGGTCCTGACCTCCAGTTTGGGAACCTCTCCTCTTGCAGGTAGTTTTCCAGTATTGGACTCTCACTTTGGTGATCCTGCTGAAAAAAAGCACACCCACAGCATGATACTGCCAACACCATGCCCCTCTTTCTAAGTTCATAGCATTCTGCCTACAGGCCAAAAACCTCGGTTTATATCTGATCTCGACCGAGCGCTGTTTCTCTTAAATGTTGTTGCAAACATCATGTATGTTTATAGCTTTAAACTAAAATACACTGAAATCTCAAAAGGAACAAAAACTTCTGCTTGGTATGTTCTTTTAATGTGATTATATACTGTAGATCCCAAACTGTTCTTTCTATGGAAAATCTGTTTCCTGATATGGTTCTTTGTTTTAAGGATGCCGATCTCATTTCAAGGTTTTTTTCTTCTTCCAAAATTAGAGAAATGGGACTAATCAGACTGTTTTACTGTGATCCAAATGTTTTGATCCTGTCGCCTCTGCAGGAGATGATAAGTGCTGCTGAATACTTGATGATCTTTTTCTCATGCTGTTCCTCAGATCTTTATGTACTCTAGTTTGTAAATGGACCTACTGCCCTCCAGATGGATGGGATTCCAGCTTTTGGACTAGCATTGGCCTGGAGGATCTCCTGGAAAACAATTTCTCCAAAATAGGCAAGAACATCTATTTAACAAATAAACAAATCCTCTTCTCTCTCATTAATTTGTTTTATTCTCTTTGATCCTTATCTTCTCTCCCTTGTTAATAATTTCCCATCCAGGCAGCTTGACGTGTTCTCCAGGGAGTCCGCTGGCAGAAGGCCTGACTCCAGAGGCTGCAGCAGATTTGGGTTTGAACCCAGCAACAGCAGTTGGTGCTTCACTCATTGATGCTCATGCTGGAGGCTTAGGTAACACCCAGCACAGCACAGCAGCCTAAAAACATCATTCCCAAATGGAAGCCTCTTATTTTTACCAAATCTGCTCACTGAGAAACCTCAGAGGAGAATATTTTAGCACAATAATTTGTGTCTGGCAACCAAATCAGATCACTAAATGCTGCAAAAATGATCACTCAAAAAAAAAAAAACTCTGGAAAAATACTTCCAATTCTTGTTTCTGGTTGTAAACTTCCAGGACAGGTTCTGCAGCTGTAAGAGCATTGTGTTTATTTTCCTAACCCGCTTGGCTGAAGCTCTGCACATGCACAGACAAACACAGAGGACCTGTAGTACTGGAAAGTGGAAAACTACCTATACTGAGAAACATTTCTGCACAGAAAAAACACCTTCATGCAGTCAGAAATACAAGCTGTAATCATTTCCCTTTATTTAATACACAGAGAATGCCTCCCTTAAGGTAAAAGAGCCTAGTCATGGATTTCTAACTCTTAATATTGTCAAATTAACTCAAACTCTAAATCTCTTTGCATGCAGAAAAATGAGTTGGTTGCTATGAGTTTTTTTTTTACCTCGATTGAAATACTCCAGTGAGCCTTTTTATGTTTAAAATAGTTGAAGAAAAACAAAAGAAAACAAGCTAAAATTATTTTGCAACTGGTCTGGAAATTAGTATTTGGATGCTGTGTTTTTGGAGCGGTGTTAGCCGCCTTTAACAGCCCCCAAAGAGCTGAGTTCAAATGCAGGGCCTCATGATTACTAGGCCAGCAGCTCCGCCTCATGAGGCGCCTTTCTGTTCTGGATGGTTCCTACATAACTTTTTTCTGTTGTGATTGCTGCTAACTGTGTTTTTTTTTAAAAACAGATATTTATGACAAACTAACAAATCTATGTTCCTCGTCTGCATTACGGCTCTGGCTAAGCAGGGAAGCTCAGGGAGATGAGTCAAAATCCACAGGTGTCTGACCTTTGCGCCCATGATACCAGGAAAGCATCTTATTGTTAGCCTGACGTAGTCCGACTCAATTCTAGTCAGAATATGAGTCTGATACTGCTCCATAGAGCTGTGATTATGGGGCGTGTTTCGAACGAACCAGGAAAAAAAATGCCTCTGCACTCAATTGGATAGACCTACAACCAATAAGAGCAACGGAGTGCGTGACGTATGTTAAGCGAGGCATAGTTGTTGCCCACAAAAAACAAAGCGTGCAGTTGCACGCCTATAATAAGAAGATGAGACTTGATCGCGTTTCTCTGTTCCTCTTTTAAAATTAATTTGCTGTCGATATCTTCTAGAACAGACCTAATAGCAGAATCTACTCACCTAAACTCTCCAGCGGCAGCCATTATTGTTGTCACTCAAGCGCGCTTTGGTCACGTGGTTGATTACGTTACTGTTGGTCATCTGTCCATCATCGTATAAAGCCCACCCTGACAATTTGATTGGATCGCCTGACAGTGGGCTTTAATACTCGCGCTACTATAGAGCAGAGCCAGACCGAACTTCCCGACCTCAAACTTTGTGGGCGGGACTAAGTTCGGAATGGCACCCAGGCTATCTTATTGTCACTGAACAGCTCAAATGCTTAACAACAGTTTAGATAAAACTGCACATTTCCCTCTATCAGTATAGTTTAAGTATTTAATCATATTTACCACTTTTCTTTTAGTTTGATCAATTTATGACCATCTAAGGAAAAAAAGGGACAAATAGAATCAGAAGGCGCCATTTTTAAGTTCTTTTTTTCTCTTTCTGGAAACTTAATATAACAGCTTTTGCTTAAAGCTACATCTTCTCATGGACTAAACCCTCCATAAGTAAAAGGTATAAATATCAGCTTCTTATTGAAACGTTCTTTGAAATGTGAGAAAGAAAACAGCATTTATTTCAGCTGTATTTATTATACACATTTACGATAACAGTTCTATTATTTATTTATTTTATTCACACATCATTCACGGATTGCAACACGGTGCACGATGTGTACCACAAGTTTTCACAATCAGAATAGTAAAAAGGGTCCCGCCAAGCAGGCTATTTTAAGAGTTTGATAGGGGATGTCTGAATATTGGCCAGATATCCTTATAGCATGCTCTAAAATCAATAGCAATAAGATTAACAGACGGAGCAAAATACATATATTTATGGATTTATTATATATCAGTACATTAAAAATACATTGCTAGGAATTAAGTCTTTAGTTCGGCCTTAAAAAGGGAGATTTTTAGTTTTTCATTATGCTCATTTGAAATCTATGATCCCCTGGACACAATACTAAAGCTTGTGCATTTTAATTTAATTCCCCCCCCCCCATAAATATGGATCTTTATTCCTAGTGGTAAAGGTTTTCATTATGGAGGATAAAAGTGCCAAAATTAAATAAATAAATACAGCATTAAATAAATTATTAAATGTGTCAATAATTAATTAAATTTGGAATTAAATAAATAAATAAATGTGTCATTCATTAATTAAAACCTCGTCACTAATATAAAGTGCCACAATTAAATAAATAAATGCAGCGATAAACAATTAATTAAATGTGTAATTCATTAAATAAATAAGGAATTAAATATATAAATGTGTCATTAATTTAATAAAATACATCTTAATTTTATTAAAAAATATATATATAATTATTTCAGTGTGCATTTAATTATTTCATGGTCCTGTGTCGCAGTGCATTAAAACCATTAAAAGAATCTGTCAAACTCACCCATCAAAGTTTGGGGGCGGTTATCTAACACCTGATTGGTCACCCTGCAGATTAAGGCAAAGCAAATCGATTACAGAGACTCGATTCGCGTTAACCCGCCCCCTAATTTTGATGGGCTTTCAGGCACATTAGATAAGCATCCTGAAAGTAGTTATATTCATTAAGCTTTAGAAGATTGTTATGGTTGAAACAATTTTGTGGGACTGTTATACCAAGACTATGTTAAGGCTGGTATGGCTTTTTTTCCCCCTCTAATTTTTCATATGTCTGGGCAAACACACAAGACCCCTGAGTTCACTGACGACCACTGTGAGTAACATTAGATGTGCTCAGTGAGACCACACACCAACATTAAATTTGTATCCAACCGGGGGTCATACAAAGTTGCATAGCTTATTAAAGGAATAAGAGATTACAGCAGCAATTTCTTTCCATTAGTTTACTTTTAATTTAAGTGATTTTGTCTACTTAGAATAAAAAAACAAAATGATAAAACTTAATGAGATGTGTTGTATGCTATATGTAAGAGTGCTGCTCTGGAAGAAATATACAGTTAGACGTTACACCTTTTAGAAACAACTTTTTGTTCAGGTTGAACATTTACATTTTGCACAATGAAACGGATGCTGAAGCCTGTAATACTGCATAAATCCCTGTAATTCTTTATCTGTAAAATTTTTAATTGCACAGTTGTTTAGCATTTCTACCAACATAAAATATATAATAGTATAAGTATTCTCTGATTAACATTCATGAAAAAAACAAAAAAAAAACAAATAAAGGTCACCAAAATATGAAAATATCTGACTTAAATTTGATCTATTTTTTTTACGTCTGTCTTTCTGACTTCTCCAGTGGTCATCCAAATAATCCACTTTAAGACACTTGCGCTGTTTTGATATGATTCATTAAACTAAATCTTCTTTTACAATATATATATATATATATGTGTGTGTATATATACATATATATATATATATATATATATATATATATATATATATACAAATGTGTATATTTATATATGTATATATATGTATTTATATGTGTATATATATATATATATGTGTGTGTGTATATATATGTGTATATAAACATATGTATATATATATATGTGTATATATTTATTTCTTTATATATATATATATATATATATATATATATATATATATATATATATATATATATATATATATATATATATATATATATAACATGTATGTATGTATATATAACCTTTGCAGTTCTGAATATGTCCTTTTTTTGAGCGGTTGCGAATCACTGCAATGTTTGAAACCAGAGCACCATCCCTCGCTATTGATTAGGTAGCAAACGTAGAAACTAAGATCCATGAACTTACTTTTTTGATCAACAGCAGCAGACTGTGGGACCCTGCAGAAAATAATTTGGGTTAGTGTTCAAAATAAAGCAGTGCCCTTGCAGTAAGGGCAAGTGGTGTGGGAACAATGTATGTTGAAGGTAAAAATCAAAACATTCCAGAATATTTTTTGTTTTTTTAAAAAACAAACTGATTTAAAAAAAGCAAAAGAAAAAGCCCTCATGGTTGCTAAAAGTAGAATATTTTTCCAGTTGGATGATATATCTGCATGTTTTCAGGCATTAGGCCTTGACAGGAGACAATTTGTTACCTCTGCGGTTTGAAGGAGGGAGGGGGAATAGTTTCTGTCTCTGCTTCCTTCTTTGCCTTCAGGGGCTGAGGGAAACGCTCCTGCAGCTCAGGGAATCCCAACCATCTGGTTTGGCTCTGTTGCTACACTCCCTGTGAACCCTACCCTCCGACCTGCGGTCGGGACCTCTGCCAGCTGCGTATTGTTGTCGGTCAGGGGTCGAATCGCTCTGAACCATTAGTTGTCGTTCCTGCCTCGCTCTGCATGTAGGCTAACCATCCTAAAACTCAAACCAGCTCTGCAAACATTACCCCCAGCAGTTAGTGTCTCTTTAAAAAGGATTTCATGTTGCCTTTCACTCATAATTGCTGACCTCCTTTCAGGTGTTATAGGTGCTGATGTGCAAGGCTTCGAATTACCCTGCAAGGGTCGGCCGATCACATCCCGCATGGCGATGATCTGTGGGACGTCCACTTGTCACATGGCGGTCAGTGGTTTGAAGGCTTCCTTTCTTTACTGCAAGTCTTCTTTTTTTCTTTATACATGTATGTCATTTATTACCAGATCAGCGAGAAGCCTGTGTTTGTGCCAGGAGTGTGGGGACCCTACCTGTCTGCCATGGTGCCAGGCCTGTGGCTCAGCGAGGGAGGACAGAGCGCCACAGGGAGGCTGGTCAGACCATTCGGACAAACTCTGTGAACAAATTAGGACCCGTTACCAAAGCCTGCGTCGCCTTTTAACACATGAGGGTGTTTAGATACCAAAAGTGTAACTAAATCAAACACATTTAGAATTAAGGAGATTAGGTGGGGATGTGGTCAGGACGATGGCATTGAATTTAATTTTATATAAATAAATGATCTAATAAGTAAAATACTATACTGAAAAAAGCTAGCGAACAATGACACAGTTTGGGCCTTCTTTTTTTTTTATTTTTATCAGGAACTCTGAATTCCAAGAGTGGTTGTAGCGGCCATATACAGGAAATGGTGAATAGAAACGTCCACGAGCAGGAAAATGGAACGCTACCAATTTAGAGTTCATGTCGACTTCCCAGTTCTGAGTCACTAAATTCAATTCAGTTTATTCATATAGTGCCAATTCACAACACATGTCAAATTGATTCAAAGTTTTCTAGCTAAGGAAAACCAGTTGATTGCTCTTTGACTCAAAGGCAATCCCTCACACTAATCTGTCTACTGTAACCAAATGGGGGGGTCAAGATAATTAAGAGGACAGTTCCACTGCAGTAGCCACATTTCAGCCATAGACGGTGACGGTTTAAGACCAAATATTGCGCAATAAAGTAAGTTTACATGAAAATATTAAGATTTACAGGGTACCAAAGATAGATCTATGTATATTTCATTTACAAAAAACATAGATTTGGGGTTTAGTTACTTAACTTTATATTTAAAGTTAATTCTGTAGCAAAAGGTTCATTTTTACTGTTTATCTGCAATTGAACTTGTATCTTGAATGATTAACAAAAAACAAATAAGTTAGTATTTCTTTCATGGTTAAATCAAATTAGCATGTCGAATTATTTCCTAATGTGTTTTAGTTCATTTATTACTCAGGTAGCCTTCCTGTTTTCCCCTGTGTCACCTGTTGTCCCTCTCCTCCCTCAGATTGACCACATCGTGGAGGGCCACGCCGCTTACACCCAGCTGCAAAACCAGGTTAACCAGAGGTCAGCTTATATCATTCATCTATTGTCGTCTTTCCCACAGATGCTTCCAAACAGCTGGAAGAGGCGTGTCATATTTATCACATTTTATTAAAAACAGAGGGCTGCTAAATGTAGTGTATGCTGTGCTAGTGGGCTGATAGGGTCACTGGCTGATGGCGATGAAGTGCGTGACGGATCCCTCAAAACAAACTGATGAGCTCATGCAGAGGACAATAACTGGGGATCAAAAAGCTGTTTTTCCTTAACTTTATGAACAATCAGGAAAACTTTTCTTTCCCCATAACAGTATGTTAGCTTTCTAAAGTTTCTGGAAAGTGTCGTTAGAACATTTTAATTTTTCTTCCCAGGGTTCCCTTCACAGGCACCAACATCTACACCTACCTGAACAGCCACTTGACCCTGATGGCCAGCTCCCATTCTGCTGTGGACCTGCTGGGATCCAGCCTTCATGTGTGGCCGGATTTCCATGGGAACAGATCACCGCTTGCTGATCCGGCTTTGAAGGGAATGGTGAGGGCTGGTCCGAGAGGAGGCCTCTGCATTTGCTTATTCACATCGTTTCCACTTAAAGCCCTTATTTTACAGAGGTGGCGAAAACTCCGGGAAACTGGATAGTTATCAGTCAGGAGAAAAACAATCTCCAGCAGACAGCAGTTAAGGGTAAAAATGGAGAACAGCAAATGATGCCGCCGGTCATGGAGGATGTGAAGGCTGACAGCTTCACTGGAGGAGCTGCAGGAGTTTCCAATCAATACACGTTGTCCTAAACAAGCAAACAATCTCTGTACTGATGAGTAGGGTTCAAAGGTCAAACAGAGGTCTATTCCTCTAGGCTTAGTTCTCACCCCTCAGTCATTGCAGAAATATGCATTTAAATCTGATGAAGCTAAACCTCTGAGCTGTAATCCAAACAGGCAATCAGACTTTCGCTCCGTTTTTCCTGAAAATGTTTTCACTCTGATCCAGAAGGCTTTGTCGATTCATAAAAACTGATCGAAAGCCTGTTTTCCTCTGATTTAAGCCTTTTTTTTTGGCTGCCATGACCCAGATGACTGAGAATTTGCAGGCATCTCTGGGCAGTAATTCCAAGAGGAAAGTTTACCACAAAAACCATAACCAGCCATCACTAAATGGGCTCTATTGAGCAGAGGTTCCAGAACGTCTCAGCTTGTGACCCCAAAAAAACAACACAGACTGGGGACCCTCTAAAACTATAGATATTCACTTAATTACTTCACTCCATATTTATTTATACATATAAGGTAAAGTAATTATTCTTAAAGAAATATATTTTGTAAGAACTTTTAATCATTTAAATGGGATATTTAATTATTTAGCTGTTCATTTTATAGTGTAGTATATATGTTTAACATATGTAATCTTTGAATCATGTTTCCTAAACCTTGGTTTACATCAAATTAGAAAACTTCCCAGAAGTCCTGGACCAAATCTCTGAAATTTAAGAACCGTTTGAGGCAGCATTTAACTCCTGCTACCAAAATCTGTAGTTTGGGAACCCTGTGTATAGAGCACGGTGGCGGTGGCACAATGCTCTGGGATTACTCTTCTTGATATGGATCTGACATATCTGATACCAGTTAGTTGTTAAATATTTAGAGTCTGATTTTCACAGTCAAAATAAGGATCATTAAAATGGATTAGGGAAAGAAGTGTTAACATAGAGCTACAATCCTAAAACAGCAAAATAGCGCTCTGTTTAAATAAGCTAGTGACACAACCTACAGGCTGCATAAAAGGGATTGTAAAAGAGAGATGAACTTCTGAGCCATGGAGATAGAGGAAATAATCAGATTGAATATTTAGAAAATAACCATAAAAATGAATATTATTCAAAGATCCCTTTGCATATATTTCTCAATAAACTACAGTGAATTTACAAAAAAAAAAAAAAAAATAAGATTAAAGCTTTGTTTTTTTTTTCTCTCGGGGTGATATCAATGGATCATTATCAGAATCCCTGAAAGAAATCAGCATCTTATTCAAATAATTTCTCACGTTTTTTCTCTAAATAAATATCTGTAGCACAGACATGTATAGAAAAACATCCTCCCACAGTCCAAAAACATAACTGTTAAGTTAATTGGTTTCTGTAAATTCTCCTTAGGTGTGAGTGTGCGTGTGAATGGTTGTTTTTCCTGTTTGTCTCTGTGTTGCCCTGCAATGGACTGGTGACCTGTCCAGGGTGAACCCCGCCTCTCGCCCATAGACAGCTAGAAATAGGCAGTGATGGGACTAACGGCGTTGAAAGTAACGGCGTTCCTAACGCCGTTACCTTGTTTTAGTAACGAGTAATCTAACTAATTACTTTGACTGTAACTATAATGCAGTTACCATTACAGACACCCCGTTACTGCGCGTTACTCAGGTCGCACAATGAACCTTTTTTCATGATAGGACTCATGCGCAGCTGCAAGAAGCTGACACCCCACCCACGTCAAAAAACTCTGCAAATAGACTGAATGGTTAGTGCAACGTTAGTGCAGATTTGTGCTACTTTTGTTTAAGAGATATTAAAGATTATTTTTTAGGTCATCCAGAGGTGCGCGCCTTGTCATGAGAGAGGGGAGGATGAGAATGGCTGATGTATAGTGAGATTCCGTCTGTCAGTTGGGTAGGTGGGTGTTTCTGCTGGTGGGTGTTAACGTACAGCACACACAGAGAGATGGAGAGTGAGGAGGACTCCAGCAGCAAAACAGCGTTTTCCTGATGGAAATACCGGTGTTACGTCGAGCTGTGTTTCCCCATCACATACGGTTTCCTCTGCATCTCCGCACAGCGCAGGCGGCACGAGTCACCGCACAAGCGACAGGAAACGTGCATGCTCGCTAAAGGCGCGCAACAGACGCCCTGTGCTCGCGCCACAGGAGAACTATGGAGAGCGTGAAGGAACAAATGAAAGGGAGAAATCTGGATGGATGGATGGATGGATGGATGGATGGATGGATGGATGGATGGATGGATGGATGGATGGATGGACGGATGGATGGATGGATGGATACTCTGCCTTTTCAACCTACTGTATTTTTTATTTTAAACATTTTTTGATGGCCTTTGTGGCAGGGATGGAGATCCATATTTTATGTCACACACAGTATACATCTAGATAGATAGATGGATAGATAGATAGATAGATAGATAGATAGATAGATAGATAGATAGATAGATAGATAGATAGATAGATAGATAGATAGATGTTGCAGTATCTATAACAACCCAAACACACAGGATTTCAGAATTAGACATCCCCAGTTATTAATTTCACCAGATCTGAATGCCCTGTTAAAAAACTTCACATGGCGTTCCCCCTGATGTCATTTACGTTGAGTTGCAATAAATGCAAAACTCTCTGCAGGTTCTTGTCTTTGTCGTCGGCTCTATTCAGCTGTCTTTGGAAACACACCGCGAGAAGGTGGGGGCTGGGTGGTGAGGGTTACGAGGGCGAGAAACGCAAAAGTAACGCAATAGTTACTTTTACTAGTAACTAGTTACTTTTATTGTGGAGTAACTCAGTTAGTAACTCAGTTACTTTTTGGGAGAAGTAACTAGTAACTATAACTAATTACTTTTTCAAATTAACGTGCACAACACTGGAAATAGGCACCAGCACCCCTTGCGACCCTGCTGGGGATAAGCATGACAGAAAATGGATGGATGGATGGATTGATCTGTAGCACAGTAGCCTTGTTTTACAGATGCCCCTCTTTTGTCTGTCTTTCCTGTGACTGTTTCCTGCAGGTGATTGGATTGTCTCTCTCCCAAACTTTGGATGACTTGGCCCTGCTGTATTTAGCTACCATTCAAGCTCTTGCTGTAAGCCTACTTTTTTAAAATAACCCTCCCTTACCTCTTGGCTGTTATGCGAGTAAGCTGTGCGATAACACTGTTCTTTATGTATCTGATTCCAGCTCGGTACGCGCCACATCCTGGACGCCATGAAAGAAGCAGGACATGACATCAGAACCCTCTTCCTGTGCGGCGGCTTGAGTAAAAACCCTCTGTTTGTACAGGTCCAGGCCAACGCTACAGGTACGCTGCATTACAGATTCTTTATTGTGAACATTTTGTGTTTTAGTCATAGACATCAGTAAAACAGTCTAAATTGTATGGCTTTTGCAGGTTAAGGTAGTTTCTAATTTCCCACATGAAACCTTAAATCCGAGGCTTCCCATGATAAAGTTTAAGTTAATGGTTTCCAGGATTGCTACAAAAAAACAAACAAACAAACTGATTAGATTGTCAAATGAAAGGTTCCAAACATAAAACAACTAAAAAAAGGAATAACCCTAAATTATAACCATCATAGCCAGGAACTGTAAAGTAAAAGCTTTGTCTATGAGATGCTTTCAGACTATTAGACCTTTTGATCTTCTAAAGTGAAGCCTGCACAGATCAATCAGGTCAGAGTTAAAGGGAGTTTATGAATAAACATTTAGTTCTGGTATACTTTTCCCCAATCCTCCATTTTAGAAACACTGCATATGACTTTCTGCTGATATTATAAAGAAAAGCATGAAGATCAATGAGGGAAACAAAGGAAATCCAAATATAAAACTTTTGTGCTGAAGGGATTATGCAGACCTGTGTGCATCTATAAATATTAAAGAGTTAAATTTGACCTGAAATATGAAAGGATACTGAGTGTATTCCTTCATTCTCAGGACTGCCTGTGGTGTTGCCCAATCAGAGCGAGGCCGTTTTAGTGGGAGCGGCGGTTCTGGGCGCGTGTGCATCCCAGGACTGCAGAACCATACAGGTACAGTTACAAACAGATCTGTTACACAACAACTCCAATATTAGCTTGAACCATGTTCAATAAATTTTCAGTATTTTTTTTTTTATTTTGTTTTCTTTTTAGACAATGGGTTTGATTACAATCATGATTTTTAAAGCTTTAGAATGAATTGAGCAAGTAATTGATTATCCTATATTTGTATCTCTAATTTTAACAGTGACCTCATAGTTTTATCAGAACACTGATATTGCAGAGCTGGGTTAGCTGGAATTTAAATGTTCAAACTACAGGTAGCAAACAAAGAGTAAAAGTTCTAATAAGAAGAGTATCTATAATGCTTGTGCTGGATGAATCGTTATTAATTAATATTTACTAGCTGCCTCTCTTCAAATTATGAAATGATCGAATAAAGGGTTGATTTTTTTTAAAACGTTTGATGCCTGAATTGTGCTCACGCTTTTGCCCCCATAACAGCTTTAACTCTACCACAAATCCTCAACAATATATAAAAAGGGGATATTCAGCAGCGTTTAGGTTGGTACTGACTTGAGCATTTCTAAGTTAATAACCAGCAGATTCATCCGACAGCAGTAAATGTTTGTTGGAGTGATGTAATATCTGGAAAAAAAATAAAATAAATTCCAGTTTTGTGGACCCTCGTATTCTGTATGGATTAGGCCACCATGCCAATGGCAAAAGCAATAAAGTATGTGGTCCTCTAAGCACAAGTAGTCCCTGAACGACTGACTTTATACAAACGGGTAAAGTAAGAAAGTTTAGCATGTGGCATCCATCTTGAATTCAGAAGTCGGGTAACATCCTGTTGCACCGACTTTCCGACCTGTAATTCCGACTTTTGGTCATTCCAGTTGAAATTTCCAACTTGGAAATTAGAAATTTCGACTTCCAAGTTCAAATGAAACGTACCATAGAACTGTTCAGATGGTATATCTTCTCTTTAACAAAAATATTGAACTCCAGCACCTATTTGTTGTTGTTTTTTTCCCTGAAAAAAAAAAATAAAAATCTAAGAAATCTTTACATTTTTTGTGATTCTAACACCCTACATGACCTTTTCTGAACAATTATTGTCTTAAATGTTTACATTGGAGTTTCCAGTGCAACAGAGTGCAATGAGAACTTTTATGACTAAAATATCATACCGGTAAGTGAAGCATAAAGTAATATTTGTGTTATGATGACAAGTTGAAGGGACTAACAATTAAACAATAACCGCATTTATAACTTGTTAGCACAGTTCAATCTGTAGATTAAGATTAAAGGAATTAAAGGCAATACCTTCAAAGCATGACTTCTACTGCAGTCTATAATCTTTACCCCTCATCATATTGGGGCCTTGGGACCTGCTGCAGCGAAGAGAAGCCCACATGTTGGCCATATTTATATGTATAGAAACAGCACCACTGCAGAAAAAAACAAATTTTAATTTTAGCTCCAGATAAAAAAATGGAAATACAGTTTTAACAAGATCCCTAAGGATCATGATTATTAGTATCCCAGTTATAAATACTCAGTTCAGCCCTCCTTTGGCTTTTACATTTAATATGACATGCAGTGATGCATGCTGGGGATTCTCATAAAAGATTTTATTGGGAGATACAGATCAGGAAAACATGTGGAGAACCCCTTTAAAAAGGTTTTTTTTTTTATCTGACTCAGTGTCTCCGCCTACTGGAGAAAAACAGAGCATAAATTATATATTCAGCTGGCTGGATAGGATTAAAATTTAAAGGTTTATATCTTTTTTTCACTTTGCTAGAACTCCCAATAACCTCTGAGCCATATAAAGTATAAATAAGATGTTATTATTTGGACTGGGCTGCAGCTGTCTGCTTGTTTTCAGCCATAAATACTGCGGGCAGTTGTTGTGTCTGATCCCCCTCAGCTGCAGGGTCTCTGCTGCCTGGATTTTTTTTAGTTTAGACAACAGAGAGGGCCCTCCATGCATTAACCATGAGCTGTGGCACACCAGAATTACCGCAGTCGGATTGTGTTAGTTAGATAAGTGGGTCAAGGCTGAAGTGAAATTAAACGTACGCCTCTGCATCGTCATTTATGGAGCGCTGTTTCTTTCAACTTGTGTCTCAGGAGGCCATGAAGAAAATGGCTAAAGTGGGGAGAGTCGTTCAGCCGGACCTGGAGCTTCAGAGGTGAGGAAAGAATATCCGAGTGGGGGAAAAGGGACACCTTCCAGAAAGAAAATGACAACTTTTAGGATTTAATAAGCCTTTTATGTACAAAAAACAATGCAAAGCAGCACAGAGATAATTAAACGAGGAGCAGAAACATGTGGAAAATATTTATAGTAGCCTCTGCTGCCCCCTAATAAAATCTAACACAACCATTTTTTCTTCACAAGTCTCCAAATTAGTAAACAATCCCCCTATTTGTCAAGATCTTCAGAGGTTTACTAGAAAACAATCACAGTGATCTCAGTGTTAATCTGAGAAGCAGACCCAGTTCTTCTTCTTCATGTTTTCAGCCCTTCCTGAGAGGTCACTGATTTTATGAGTTTATGGACAGCAGCTTTTAACTCTTGCTCATTCTTAGTTGCATTTGAGCCGAGACTTTGACTAGGCCATTCTAACACATGAACCTCACATTAGTGAGAAATTAGGGTTCCTTAATCCATGATCTGAAAAAGCAAACCTGCCTAAACTTGGCGGTCAATTAGAGCGTTAATCATAGACGGCTTATTGCAAATGAAGGAGCTAAAGGAGACATCTGGCCTTTATTTAAGACATAGCTGTAGATTGAAAACTTTTCAGTTAAAGTGTAAACCTAATTCTGATTGATAATATGTGACGAAAGTTAACAAATGCTTGTTTGGAGATGTTCTCTACCCAACCTGACTGAGTTTAAGCTATTTTTGACCAGGCCTTAGATGTGTAAAGCTGCTTGGATTTCTTCTCAGGGTCTTGGCATGTGCATAAGGTCCTCCAATGAGGAATGACTCTTACTATCCTTCCAGAATTTCCCACCACCATCTAGACCCAATAGGGAATAAATCCTACTTTTCTAGGTAATCTAAAGCTAAATAAGCAGCTGTGCATTCTGGGAGTTTTTCAGAAACTTTTAGAGACCCACATATACTTTTTAAAGACCAATACTTTGCTTTAGTCTATCCAAAAAACTGTATAGAAATCTGTAACTCTTAGACAAAATTTCATTTTTTTTCTTATTGAAATAGTTGGTATTCAATGCTTGGTTTACTATGCTTCCTAATTGGCTTAGTAATAACAGTGCTTCATTACATTTGTGTGTTTATTCGTCCTTCCACAGCTTCTATGAGAGGAAGTACCAGGTGTTCCTGCAGCTGTTCTCCCACCAGAGGGAGTACCAGGCCCTCATGAAGCACAAATGAGACCAGCGAAGACAGGGGGGAACTGGAACAGATGTCTTAACCCTGAAGTTCTGCTCGACGCAAATGATTTCACACGTTTGTTTTTGTTTCGTCAAAAGGGGGGAAAAAAGCAACACTTCCTTAGCGTCGGGCCGAGTGTTCATTCTGTGGTTTGATTTTATTCGGATGCAGAATGTCAAACCGCTGAGCAGGCAGTTAGAGCTCACGTCTGCCTGAAGGTAAAAGACATCTGTATGACTCACAAGGGATGCACATTGTGATTCATTGGCATCTTTAAATGCATTCCTAATGAAAAAAGAAATAAATGTTGAGAACTTAACTATAAATCTGCTCATATTTTTCTATCATTCACTATCAGTCAGCTGGTATGTCAGAGTTAATGTAAGCAGTGAAATTCTCCTCCTTCCTTTTTCCTATTCGGATCACCTCTGCTGTCCTTTAGTCTGCTGCCTGCATTCCTCAGATCAAAGCTGATAAGCTACTCGCTGATGCTTCTGACCGACCTGATGAGGAGGAACGCCAAATCCTACACAGCTGACTTATTCCTAGGAGCAGAGAAGTGTGGGGGCTCCTTAGAAGCTGCTGTCCTGCATAGTAGACCTAGCTCTACTCCAGCCATTAACCGCTGCAGAATCCCGTTAATCACCCATTTGTTTTAATATCAGGTGTGTGGAGGCAGGAAAAAGCACCTAAAACATGCAGGTAGAAGAAAAAAAAAAAAGGATATAGTTCAGCTCGAAATTATTCAGGTTTATAGTAAAAATACGTTTTACTTTGGAAACTTGATTCCAATTAAAAATGTGACCGTTATCTTTCAGAGGCTTATAAAAGATTGTAAAGAGTCTTACTACTTTATATTTTTATTAAAATAAGCACATTTTAGAGTAACCAATGAAAAAACCTTATTTGGCAATAAGCTTCAAGTAGGTAACTAAACGTATTCATGTGGCACCTTTCGACAAAATAAATCTCAGTCCTTGATAAGAAACTAGTACACGGTCTAACAGTGCATGGAAAAAAATGAGGAAATTAATTAAACGATTTAAAAAAAGACTTTAGAATTAAAATAAACCACAGAGAGGAAGAGAGTTCCTGAGTCTGGGGGTCATTAAACATAAGCGTCTGTCGCCTTTTGTCAGTCAGTAATGACCTCTAGCTGGGCCACTCCAAAATGTACCATCATTACTTTATAGCGAAATCTGCCAGAGGGTTTTCTTTTTTCCCTACATGTCCTGTCTTTGTGTTTTAGATCTAGCATATGAAGCAGATGGTTGCCTCGGCCTACATTTGCTGGGGGCAGTTCTGCTCTATTGAAATTATATCTCAAGAATGTATCCTGATTGCTTGACTGGCTTTACTAAATTACTCAGATTTAGTGCAGCATCAATGAAGGCAGACCACCACTCATTTAAAAGGACCCTGTGTTAGCAGGACCTTCAACCATTCGTGTAGAATGGCTGTATATGAGTGGGTTTGTCACATGGAAGCATGCGGCTGAAACTGAAGCACAGAGCATAGAGCATAGCCCCGCTCAACACCCAAAACAAGTAGGTTTACTGCTGTTTTTTAACAATGGATTTAATCTCACCACTTTTCCATAAAGGCTGGATTCGTGGCATAAACCTCTTAATTGTTGACTGGTTGTACTATGGAGTGAATTTTCTTCTATTTTGTTCGAACGAAAGAAAATGTTTTATAAATAGAAATTTGAAAGAAAAAAAATGAAAGCTAGATATTGAACTTTGAAAAATCCTAATTAAAAGAAGGTTTTGAGAGTAGCTTTGCTGTTTTCTCAGGTTTAGTTTTTTTAAATCCCTTTTTCTTATTTTAATTTATCACATTTTTATTGTTTCAAAATGTTTTTATTTTTACAGATTTATCATTTTGACATTTTTATTCTTTTAAATTTCTCTTTTTCAGATTTGGGTTGACCAATTGCGTTGTTTTCAAACAGCATTTTTCTGATCACATTGGCTTCACTTCCACGCCAATGTAAATGCTTTTGACCAATAAAAATGTTGTTACTAACGTCCATGCAGACCAATAGAAATCTTTGCTTTTACCTCCAGAAAAATGCCCGGCCTCACAGTTGAAGGAAATGATATGTAAAACACAATTTGACAAGAATGCGATTCATAAAACTCAATTTTAGAAATAGTAATAAAAAAAATTTGAAAAAAAGGGAAAAAAGTGACTTAGAAAATAAAATCAGAGAAAACAGCATAATTATTATCAAACCGTCTTTTGATGAATAATTTTCTTTAAATTTCATTTCTGGATTGCATTTTTTTTCAAAAAACGAATTTACAACACATGTCGTTCGTTTGCAAAAATAATGGAACAAACTTCACTCCATACAGCCGGCCTGAGCCATCTCTGCAGCTCCTCCAACGTTAAAATAGACCTCAGTCTTTCTGTTCTGATTAATGTTCTCCTTACGTCTATAGGTTTGCAGTTTTCCCATTTTTTTCCATCTTTGGTTGAACCACTTGTTGCTACCCAATCCCGGGTGCACGATCCATTCTGCGCATGGGCGAATACATATACTTCCGGGTGTCCATAAATAATGTAATTATGGTACTAAAACTACTTATTTCTATTCTTAACTCACTAAAGAATACTAATACACATCTTTAAAAAATTTTTTATGAATTTTGTGAGACAATTTTTATGCTTTTTACATTTTCTTCGTTATACTGCTTCTCTGACATGTTCAGAGCAGTCCGGCAAAATATGATTAAACCATGTTTATCTGCATTGTAGTTATTTCTTTCTTTAGATTCAGCACTATATAGCATAAGGTTAAAATGAAACGAAAACATAAAACTCAAAAAGACTAGATTTATGTTTAAATCCAAAGCCGAAAAAGTTAGCCACCGAAAGTAGCGTAGACACCCATTTCCGGTGCAGATTGGACAGAGACGACGGATAAAACAGAAAGGAAATACATTATTAACCTTTAACACATTATATTTTAGTACGTGTACTATTTTTGGGGAGGGAAAAAGTCATTTAGGTATTTTTAATTAAATAAAATCGAGGACGACCCGGATGTGTATCTGGATACATATGAGCGGATGGCGCATGCGCAGAATGGATCGTGCTTCCGGGACGGATCGGTTAGTGACACCAATGACCACTCTGCTGTGATCTTTGCCTTCATGATGCTTTTTGTTCTTATGTTCTTAATCACACCTCTGATGCTTTCCAAAGAGCAGGTGCAGCTATACTGAGATTAAATACACAAATTGGATTATGCATGGCGACTATTTGCACTGGATTTTATTTACGGGCATCACAGTAAATACAAATACATACATATCTTTGTAGTAGAAACTATCAAATTTTCCAGTTTTAAAGTACATTGCTTTGCTCTTTCACATAAAACCTTAACAAAACACATTCAAGTTTGAAATTACAGCGTGACAAAATGTGCATTGCGCTGCATCATCTGATAGGCATTAATTATTATTCACCACAATTACCTACAGTGAAAAACCCGCCTGTTTGCTCTGACTGCGTGGAGAGCACCACAAACGTTGGTTACTTTTGTTATAAACCAAAAGGTCTGAACCAGTAGAGGAAATGAAACAACGTTCAACAGGAAGCATTTACTCCACTGTTTGAGCAACACACCAACATTTTTTGGTTAGCTTTAGAACAAAGCATGGCCCATTTTCAATTAGTTTGGCTAGTTAGCTGTTAATATAGATTCAAACATCATAGAATCTGCCTTCCTTGAAAACTAAGTATCCCAGTGTGGACTAATCAGAGCTTCCTTTGAGCACCGCAGTTTGTATTTTTCTTTTTCCTCTTTGGAGTTTTTCAATCAAATCCCCTCCTTCTTACAAGTGTTTTTTTTATTACAGAAATTTTAGAAACATTAGGAAACGGTTAAATACAGTGTTACAAAGTATTCACCTGTAGTAAATATGCGCAAAAATACAAACAAGAATGGGAAAGATCAGGATCATCATCAGCCTCAGCATCCAGGTCAGATTCTCTTTCAGCGTTGGGGTTTTAGTAAAACAAAAGGCTGAAACTCAGATAAAAATAAAATTCCTTCAACATCTGGGTTAAAATCTGCTATAATGTTCACTTATTCCAGCAGATCGACATGAATCAGATGTCACTGACCCAAATACACACAACGTTGTTCCACACTAAACTTTATAACCCATTGTGTTTGAATTGTCAGTGCAAATGTAAAGTTATTTAACATGTCGCCTACTTTAAAATCAACCTATTATAAAGGTCATAACAGAATAACTCTGCTTGTGTTATTCCTTTGGTCTGCTTTACAGAAGCAAAAAAAAAAAAGAAAAGCCCTTTACAAAATAGACGTGCATTGGCGCGGTTGAATCAGTGAATATCCAGGATCCACACTTTCACCCAGGTCGTGGGGGTCTGGGGTGTAGCGCAGGTACTTCTTCCCAGAGGGCAGTTCTTTAGTGAAGACCCCCGCTGGGAACAAAGTGGCAGCATCCTCCTCAGGCATGTTCGGAGGCACCATCACACAGTCTCCAGGCTGCAAGAAAATATATATATATATTTTTCCCCCCTCTGTTGTCAATTTATAGCTACAACTGTCCAAGTAATACATAAAAATAAAGTATCACGATGCACAAGTGGAAAGAAGATGAAACCATTAAACACAGAGATTAACTGAGCAATGTGACGTCCATATACAGTAGCAGCCATTTAAAAGCCAGCCGAATGGCAGCAAAATCCCCTCCAACTTCCAGCCACTGGCCTTCTAATGGACGTGCATATTTTTTTAACTCTGACTTTACCCTTTCACTGATGTACAGGGTCTGACCAGGCAATAACGCTACTATTTAAATCTTAATGTCCACAAATCATGATAGAAATGATATTTTAGATGTTTAAAAAGGGAATTGCAGGAGACTGGCCAAGGACCCATAAAGGAAAGTGGGGGATTTTTTAATGACTACTACTGTACTTTCAGCCCCGCTTAATCTGACACCTCTAAATAAAAGGCTGTTGAGTGATAAGGTTTAAGAACTCATCCAATCCAAAAACAAAGTCAAAAAGGAATATGCTAACCTTTTGACATCTCTCACAACAAAAAATCATTGTCAAAATGGAAAGTTACCAGGAGGTGTTTATCCAACTGAACATGAAAAAATCATTAGAAAGGTCTGAAAAGTTGCAACAAAGTAATACAGTAACAAAGTCTAAGTTGGCCTCTGGTTAATTAATGCTGATAGCAGATGTAGTAAAGATGTAGTACAGAATAAAAAAAAAAAAAAAAAAAAAAACTGCAGAAAAAAAAAAAAGAAATATTGTGAAATTTTGCCAAATT